GTGTTTGTGAAGGTTAACTGCTTTAGATCACTATGTAGTTTCATAAGGAAAACATAATGTAAAGAAATAAATGGGTGTATGTAGTACTAAAGCATTTACCTTGGAGAAGAGATGTTTACGGAGGTTGATGGTGGAGAAGAGATGTTATCGCTTAATCACTTAATGTAATTGCTACATTCTTAATGTTACACTTAATTGCTACACCTAATCACTGAACTTAACTTCTGCAATTTCCTGGCACTATAGCCTTTATTGACTCCTGCTTTAGTACAGTGGACCCCCGGTTAACGATATTTGTTCACTCCAGAAGTATGTTCAGGTGCCAGTACTGACCGAATTTGTTCCCATAAGGAATATTGTGAAGTAGATTAGTCCATTTCAGACCCCCAAACATACACGTACAAACGCACTTACATAAATACACTTACATAATTGGTCGCATTCGGAGGTAATCGTTATGCGGGGGTCCACTGTATTGTGCATATCGTAAAAGTGCTATGCTGGTACTGTACTCTACCCTCACACCTCGTTTGTGTTTTTCTTTGATTTCAAGCTTTACTTCCATAGCCATCATCCTCTTTTTCTTCTCGGCACTGTCCTTTGCACTTGCTTTCTTAGGACCGATGGTTAGAAAAAAGAAATTTGGCGAAATAACTGCACAAAACGTAAGGAAAACAAGAATTCCTTCCATCGCGAGTATGCATGTGTTGTTGTTGTGGTTCTGAGCCTGCCATCTTATTGTGGTGTTCTGAAGCTCACTTATAATAATAATAATAATAATAATAAGTATTATTATTGTATTATTATACAGTGGACCCTCGTTTTTCGTAATTAATCCATTCCAGAGAGTGTGACTATTATCGAAATTGACAATTTGCGAATCCATTTTCCCCATAAGGAATAATGTAAATCCAATTAACCCTTAAACTGTCCAAACGTAGATCTACGTTTTTTCAACATTTGAAAGTATGTAAAAAAATGTAGATCTTCTTTTTGTTTTTTTCATTTGAAAATGTGTAAAAAAAACTTTGATCTTCGTTTTTTTTTTTTTTATATATTTGAAAATATGTAAAAAAACGTAGATCTACTTTTGGAGCACCATGCATGTGAACATAGATCTGTTTGGACAGTTTAAGGGTTAATTCGTTCCAGACACCCAGAAGTATCAACAATTTTTTTTTTTTTTTTTTTTTTACCTTAAAGATAGATTTACATGCACAAAAGAATGAACATTCAACATGAGTTACCTTTATTGAAGGCTGTTGTTGATGAATGGAAGACAGGGAGGAGGAGAGAGGGAAGAGAGGTTATTGTTTGGAAGGGGAATCCCCCTCCATAAGGACTCTGGTCACTTCATGGGTCACTTCCCTAGCTTAAATATAGATTTACATGCAGAAAAAAATGCCAAATAAATGTAAAGCACTAATAAAATGTATAAATGAACATTTAACATCACACTTTCCTTTATTGAAGACTCTTGTTGGTGTATGGCAGATGGGGCAGAGGGAGGGGAGGAGAGTATATTGTTGGAGAATATGACACTAATATCAACTCTGTGGCTTATTTATCTATCACAATTCAACTAATATGACATAATAAACAATATTAATAACATAGAAACATGGAATATACTCTAGAATGAATAAAATAAGTCATTATGTATGTCACAAGAGGTGTTCTGTTGTTGTTGTTGTAGTTGGGTGTATAAGGGCCACTGAGAGCATAAACCATCCATAATGGTGGTGAAGCAGCTGAGGCATTGGTGTTTTCTGTAGCCCTATATAACTCCAACAACATTGGAGAGTTAGTAGAATCACTGAAGAAGGCAACCTCTACCACCATCACTACCACCCTCTACCACTATCACAACTGCTACCACCCTCTACCACTATCACAACTACTTCCACACTACCATCACCACTTTTGTATTTTTCTACAAACTTTTTCTTAAATTATGTGTGTTCTCACATTCTTTACCAAAGGGCTGGCACTAAAAGCTTTCTTTAGAGCCATGGTGACTTATTTAGCAGTTGCAAGCACTAAAACGAATGGAATAGTATTATGAAATGTATCGTATGAACTTGTGGGATCATCCTCACTCACTGATAAACAATGGCACACTGGCTTGGAATGGAGTATGAGGCAGCTCGGGGCCGTGCGTACGTGTCCCAGACGAACGACTATTTGTGAGTTAAACAACGATTCACGAGTCAATGTTTTGATGAAAAAAAGTTAAGATTTCTGAAAATTACAACTTTCGAGCCTTACGAAAAACGAGGGTCCACTGCATTATTATACATATTATTATATATATTTCATTATTATTATTATTATTACATGCATATTATTTTAATTATCATTATTATTAATTTAGGGAACTGGAGCACAGATCTAATTCCCTATATCAAGAGCCCCTCACCAAGTATGTACTAATAATAATAATAATAATAACAACAGTAAGGAGAAACTTCGTAAGGCTGCCAGTAGTTGGTGCCACCATTAGCAAAACATTGGTAACCACTTCTAGTACACTTTTCACCTGTCTAGACTTCAGTAGTCTATAAGTACAGGTTTCCCTCATCATTTGTGAGGGTTAGGGGATCAAGAGCCTTGTGAATGTTGAAAAATCATGAAAGTTTGGTGCCCCAATATTTTGTAGGGAAATATAATACAATACTACTTCCTTAACTTGTTGAACCATGAACAATCATAAAATACATGAAAACATCATAAAATATTGTACTATATACATACATGTTATTAAACCATAACATGTATGTTATTAAATACCACTGCCTTAACCACTGTGGTGCACTGCCTCATATTTTTGTACAATTTCTTCAATTCTATCCTGTTTCTCAATTTCTTTACCAAAGGGCTGGCACTAGCAAGTTTCTTTGGGCCCATGGTTAATTGCCTAGCAGTCGCACTCAATCTACAAGCACCAAACACAATGAATTATTGTGAAATGTTTGGAAGAGCGTGGAGGCTAATGGTCACTCCAACCCTCGTATTTTTGTACAATTTCCTTGTGCAATAATATCGTATTATTATTATTAATAATAACATGTATTATTATTATTAATAACATGTATTATTATAAATATGTATGTTATTAAATACCACTGCCTCCACCACTGCCACTGTATTAGCCACTGCCTCAACCACTGCCTCAGCCACTGCCTCAACCACTCCCTCAACCACTGCCTCTACCACTGCCTCAACCACTGCAGTCACACTCAGTCTACAAGCACCAAACACATTGAATTATTGTGAAATGTTTGGAAGAGCATGGAGGCTAGTGGTCACTCCAGAATAAACAAAGCCAAACTGACTCGCAATGCCTCCCACCACTGCTTCAATCCTCGTATTTTTGTACAGTTTCCTTCTTCAATTCTATCGTATTATTATTAGCAGTAGCAGAAATGTTCGATTCTTTGCCGTGTTCAAGAGTAAACAAATGATGTCGCTGTCCAGTACCTGTCCGAATGGCCATTCCAATGTGCAGTCATGAATGGGTTGACATTATTTATACTGTAGTTTAATAGCAAATAATGAACAAACAAAACACTCATGACACTGAGTGGCGGGCGGGCTGGCTGCTAGTTGCGGGGATCAGAGGGAGGGTAGTAGGGACGTGCGGGTGGCGGGAAATTTAAATATGATTTGGCAGCTGGGAATTCGCGAATGTGTGAAGCCCGCGAATGTTGAGGGAGACCTGTATTAGTGGCTTTCTTTGCTCCAATCATATTATGATATGTAAACACACATTGTAACCTTTGCAAAGAAATAAATATTTTATTTGTTTATTTATGTAAGGAACCTCCCTTGAGGGGAGAGTTTACATCCTGAAAGCTCGTTCGTATGCAGAAGCGAAAAATCGACTGAATGACTGTTCGTATCCTGGAAAATTCACATGGTGGTGCATTCGTAAGCAGAGGTTCCACTGTATGTGCATGTGCGTGCCTGTGTAAGCAAGTATCAAGATATACCTATTATCCAGCATGTTTATGAGACAGAAAAAAGATATCAGCAATCCTACCATCATGTAAAACAATTATAGGTGTCTATTTCACACTCACTTGGCAGAACAATAGTACCAACCTACTACCCAAACATATTTATTATTATTTTTATTACTTTTATACTCAACAGCTGTCTTTCATGGAGGTAGGGTGACCCAATGAAGAAAACATTTTCACCATCAATCACTGTCTTGTCACAATTCAATTTACCCTCTGACTGCAACTTTCCTCAGAGAGCAGGCACTGCCCTGTCACCCCCAGGACTCTAGCCCAGCTTAACAGGTTTCACTGAATCCCTTCATAAATGTTACCTTGCTCACACCCTAACAGCATGTCCATTAAAAGCCACTTGTCACCAATTAGTCCTGTCTAATACACTAACACAAATTTGTGGATGCTTCTTTACACCCTTCGCTTATTATTATTATTATAAAACAAGAAGCATTAAACCTACAAGAGTCACACAGTGCAGCTACACCCTTTAATCATTCCTGGGATAAACCCTTGCACCTTAGATTTATACTCCCTCTGTATCATCCTATTGTTCTCTATCCTCTCTACTTGCCCAAACCACATCAGCAATTCTTCTTCTGTCTTCTGAATTATACCCTTGGTGACCTCAGCACTTTACTTTCTATACTCAGAATTCTCTGCATGATATTCACACCATACATTGCTCTCAGACATGATTTCTCCACTGGCTCTCTCTCCATTGCCTTGCTGCAGCATTCAAAACTCAGCCTCACACTTTTTTTTTTTCCTCCATAGATAAACTTTTTTCTTTCCACAGATATATCGACACTGCCCACTTTTTTTTTTCCTCTCCTCTGATCTGTGGTTCACCTTGTCTTTCATACACCCAACTGCTGACATGTCCACTCCCAAATGTCTAAATACATGTATGCTTAAACTATTAATTTGCTTATGTATTCAGTCCTTGGTACTTTATATTTACAAATATTCATTTATTTCTAGTCATATTGTGAGAAGCACAGTGTGTCCAGCAAGAAGCTTGGAGGTGAAGAAGCTGAAAGTGAGGAAGGTGAAGAGGGTGCCCCTAAGAAGAAGAAAGATTGGACCTCAGAGCAGAAGAACCAGGCACGTGCTGCTAAACTACGGCAGATCGAGTCAGAGTTCTTCAAGCATGTTGATGTCTTAGAAACATCAAACTTCCTAGATATTGATTTTGAGACCACAGAAACTATATTTAATTATTGGAAGCTTAAAAGACGGGTGAGTGACTTTTTCTGTATTTTTAAATTTTGATAAGTATTTGGTCACAATTTTTAATTGGTGTAGTTAATTTTTGATAACTTTAATGTTAAGTAAATTTTGTATAGGCTTTATGATTTCATTATTAATCCTTAAACTGTGTCCGACGTACTATTACACACAATTTTTTGTACCCTCAGATCTGCCACCTGCCAGTATTTTTGACCTTGACACAACTCTTTGGTCCACACACTGTATCATGGTTAACTACATAGGTGATGCTTATATGTCTGATGTACTAGTATGCCTAACTAGGAAAAGTAGACAATGAAACCAGGAGCTGTTGTTAATCCACCAGCTTCCCTACCAGCAAACTGTGTGGAAGTGGCACAAAGATGATTTATTCATTCCAGATTTATTACAATTTCATGATGCTAACAGTGGAATTCAAACACAAAGTACGCCTAGTATATTTAACCCAGAGGTATTACACTGAAACAATTATAATATTTTAAGTTTTCATTGTACATTGCCTTAGAAGACCCAAATAGTGAGTGTGTGGGAGAGGTGCATGAGCCTGTAGGTAAAATGAAAGTGGGAATAAAGAAGCTGGGATTGATGGGATTAAGATAAATATATTAAAACTAGGTGGGAATATAGTTGGTGCTTTTATTTAATAAATGTATGAGAGAGAGCAAGGTACCTAGGGATTGGCAGTGTGTGCATAGTTCTTTTGCATACATAGGCAAAAGGGACAAAAGTTTGTGTAAAAATTATAGGGGAATAAGTCTGTTAAGTATACAGTGGTACCTTGGTATATGTCCTTAATCCGTTCCAGGACCTTGGACTTATACCAAACAAATTTTCCTATAAGAAATATAGGGAAAACGATTAATCCCTCCCCATGAAAAAATCCTATTGTAATTGGCATATTAGACGAAATAAATGCAAATTTAACCACACTTTACTTTGCTGAAAAGAGTCGAGTGCCTGCTAGGATAGTGCTGAGAAGGGAGGAGGAGGAAATGTTATTATTTGGAAGGAGAGTCCCCCTCTCGTTTTCTGTCCCTTTTCCCTATTTGGACCTGGTTGAAGCTCATCAGGTTTGACTTTTACTAAAAATCTGCCCAAAGAACTTTGCTTCTGCCTTCTCAGGATGTTTCGGAAATGTGGCATTGTCTGGTCATTCCAGACAGTATACCGAGGTGCCACTGTACCTGGTAAGGTGTATGGAAGAGTTACTGAAAAGTTAAGGGAAGAGAGAAGGATTGCAGATGAACACAGGGGCTTTAGGAGGGTTATGGGATGTGTAAACCAAATTTTTATATTGAAGCATTTAACTGAACCATAGAATTGATGAAGGAAAAAAGGTGAGTGGTGCGTTGAGGTATCTGTGGAGACAAAAAACGTTATCCATGGAAGCAAAGAAGGGATTGTATGAGAGTGTAGTGGTACCAACACTCTTATATGGGTATGAAGCATGGGTTGTAAATGCTGCAGTGAGGAGGAGGCTGGAGGCAGTGGAGATGTCATGTCTAAGGGCAATGAATGGTGTAAATATTATGCAGAGAATTTGTAGTGTGGAAATTAGGAGGTGGTGTGGAGTTACTAAAAGTATTAGACAGAGGGTTGAAGAGGGGTTGTTGAGGTGGTTTGGTCATTTAGAGAGAATGGAACAAAGTAGAATGACTTGGAGAGCCTATAAATCTGTAGGGGAAAGCAGGCAGGGTAGAGGTCATCCTCGAAAAGGTTGGAGGGAGGGGGTAAAGGTTTTGTGGGCAAGAGGCTTGGACTTCCAGCAAGTATGTTAGATAGGAGTAAGTGGAGACAAATGGTTTTTGGGATCTGATGAGCTGTTGGAGTGTGAGTAGGATAATATTTTGTGAAGGGATTCAGGGAAACCAGTTAGCCAGACTTGAGTCCTGGAGGTGGGAAGTACAATGAATGCACTTTAAAGGAGGGGTTTGGGATATTGGCCGTTTGGAGTGACATTTTATCTGTTGTATCTGAGCACCTCTACAAAGACAGTGATTGTGTGTGAATGATGGTGAAAGTGTTTCGTTTTTGGGTCACCTTACCTCAGTGGGAGATGGCTGACATGTTGAAAAAAAAATAGTACAATATTCTGCTTTGGCTTCCAGTAATAATATTTGATTGAATTATTGTATTATCTAATATAGGAAAATTGAGATCCGAGTGAGATGAAAAGTGTAGGCCCATCAAGGTGTGTAATATATAGGTAGGGTAATTTATTCTTATACAGTGCAGAAGTCTCTTGTAAATTTCCATAGAATTTCTCTCAGCTGGTAGATGTTGTTTAATTTTAATCTTGAGAAGACTGTAAGGTAATCTTTAAAGCATTAACAATTATTTGTTTCGATTATATCTTGAAATTTTAAATTGTAAATGAAATAGAGCAGTGAATGCAACTTTTGATTAGAAATAAAAATCATTTTTTCAGTCAGCATAAGGCTTTTCTGTGTGTACACTGCTATTAAGAGCGAATTTTTTCATCCTTCTGAATTAAAATATGATTTAACTGTTTTCCAATCCATTGTACCCAAGTGAACTTAATGTGATTGTATCTCTTATTTAGTGAAAAATTTTTTCTTATATTCATAAAGGCACCTCAACATTGATAACTGAACAAGTAAAGCAATTTCTGGATGATAATATGTGGGTTTGCCTCACTTTATGCAGATTCAATATATGTTCTTTTGCTATTATGGGATGCCCTATTTCTATTGGTAATTCTGTATTTGCTGTATATGATTGGTGCAGCTTGCGGAATGTTGAAAATTCGTCATACCATGTGCAGAATTTAGTGTTTATGACCCAGATGGGGATGATGTAGTCAGAGGTGTAATCTGCTTGTGATGGCAGCACACTTCTGGAAAGACAGCTATTGGGTGTTTTCTTTTTTTTTTTGATCACCTGCCCTGATGGAAAAGGCTGTTCAGTTTAAAAGAAATATTGCATTAGGTGATGGGTGGTAGCACTAAATTCTTAGGGGTCATACAGAACCTAGAAGCATGGGAGGCAGTTAATAATGATCCAGAGAAGGGAAGCTGAGTACAGCTGTTTTGGGACTTGAATGTACAGTGGACCCCCGGTTATCGGCTGTAATCCGTTCCTGAAGGTTGGCTGATAACCGAATTAATATTTCCCATAAGAATTAATGGAAAGAAAATTAATTCGTTCCAAACAAAAATATTCACAAAAAAAAAAAATAATTTTTTTTTACAATTATGTAAGTATTATATACCTTTATTGAAGGCTAATGCTGGCTTCTGGAAGATAGGGAGGAGGAAAGAGGGAGTAGTTAGTGTTTGAAAGGGGAAAAACCCCTCCATGAAGACTTTAGGTAGCAATGCCTTCTCTGGGGTTACTTCCCTGCTTTGCCTTTTAATGCCACTAGGATCAGCTTGAGAGTCACTGGACCCCTGTCTCACAAAATAACTGTCCAGAGTGCTCTGTTTCTGGCATCTCTCTAAGATTTCCCTGAAGTGGGACAGGGTTTTGTCACTAAACATGTTGCAGATATGGTTGTTTCAGCTTTGTCAGGGTGGTGTTTCTTTACAAAAGCTGCACATTTGTCAGAACTTGCAGCCTCATCATGCCTTACAACACTGTGTATGCCACTATGCTTCTTAAATCTATCAAACCATCCTTTACTGGCCCTAAATTCACAAACTGCAATACTTGTTCCAGGCATTTTCTTTGCAAGATCCTCATGCAACTGCTTTGCCTTCTCACAAATGATCGACTCCACTACACTGTCTCCCACTAATTCTTTTTCCTTAATCCACAATAATAATAACTTTTCCATCTCTTCCATTATCAGTGTCCTTTGTTTAGTTAGAAAAGCTACTCCTTTTGCAACATTAGCATCTTTGATTTGTTCTTTCTTTGCCAGGATGGATGTAATTGTTGATTTATTCTTGCTGTACATCCTGGCAAGTTCCACCACCTTCATACCACTCTCAAACTTTTCTATCACTTCGTGCTTAAATTCCATGATGTTTTTCACTTTCTTTACCGCAGGACTTTACTAGGAACTTTCTTTGGAGCCATGGTTACTTATTTCACAGTTGCACTGCAAGAAAAACCACTAAAAACAATGGTAACCAAGCGAAATGTTTGGATATATGAGCAGAAGCTTCCTCAGCCACCGAGAGACAAAGCCAAACTGAAGTGCAAGCTGCCCCAGCCGGCAGATGGATGCGTCCAAAACGGCCGATAACCGAGCAAACGGCCATTAACCGAGCGCCGAAAACCCTGCCAATAACTGAGTTGGCCGATAACCGGGGGTCCACTGTATCTACAACATAAAACAACTGACATCTGTATATACATATTAAGTGATTTACCAAAATAATATATTACATTGGAAATACATTGTTGATCATATTTTTCCATTATACAGTAGTCTTCAGAGTGAGAAAAAATTAAACACTAGGCATTCTTTCTGGTGCAGATACTTCATTTTTTTTAATTCTCCATATTTCAGTACATGCTGTTAGTTTACCTTCAACACCCTAGAAACTGGTGAAGGGCTCTTAATCCAAGGAATTAAAGCTATTCTTCCCTTTACTAAAACTTGATTATCACTCCCATATCCTAGGCACTATAGGGCCTAGAAGCTATTGAAAGGCTCTTAATCCAAGGGATTAGAACTATTCCTTAACCTTTAAACTGTCCAAACGTAGATCTACGTTCGCTCGCATAGTGCTCCGAACGTAAATCTACATTCGATTTTACATGCTTTCTTAGATAAAAAAAAAACATAGATCTACATTCGGACAGTTTAAGGGTTTAATCGAACCTGATTACCCCCACCTCCTAGCCACTGTATAGCCTTTATGAGTTTTGCACTTCCCATAATTTTAATAATAATTTTCAATAGTTGTTAAAAGTGGAGGAGCCTAACAAATAAACATTTCCAATTCTGTATACTTGCAGTCGAGTTTCAACAAGCCTCTGTTGACACCACGTAGTGAAGAGATCGATCTTCTGTCTCACCAGCAAGAGCATGACATTGAACGCATGAAGATGTTTGTGCAGTTGCGCCAGTACCTGGAGAGGGTATGCATTTCCTGAAGAATTTTTTTTTTTTTTAACCCCGCTCACTGTAGATTTGTTCAGTTACTGTAGACTTAAATATTTGTATAAGTACCTAAATCTAAACCCTTAGAATATATAGATAAGCGTTGGAAAAGAATATTCTAATATACAAATGATAAAATTAGAGAATTAATAAAAATAAAGATGCAGATAATAAGTTGATATTAAAATATACCAGCTATACAGTAAAAATATTTTTCTAATTATTTTTTCTTTCAGGTTCGAAATCTGTGTTACATGGTGAATCGTCGAGAAAGATTGTCAAGATCATTCATCAAAATCCGTGAGCAGACGTTCTCCAAACAAGTGTCCCTCCTAAGTAGTAATAATATGACCTTAACGCCTCAGGAAATAGAAGCAGTGATGCAAGCCAATCATGGCCACTCTGTGTATGATCAGCTGTATTCTCACCACACAGCCCCAAAACACACCCAGAAGCAGTTTGAGAAGATTGTTGCATGCATTGCTGGCACTCTAATTGAGAAGGTCAAGAGCAAAAAGCCTCCTCGAAAGAAAGATGTCAATGGTCTTATCAGACCTAAGAAGGAAAAATCAGATAATCCATATAAAAAGTTGTATGTTAATGGTGCTGAACAGCGTCGTTCTCGTTCTAGTTCTCTTTGTAGTACTAGTGACACGGATTCTTCTCTGGCATCACCCAAGTGGATCCTCTCTCCCAAGGGTAATCCTCATTCTTCTGTTTACACCAGCAGCGAAGAGGAAATGAATAAGGAGAATCACTCCATCAAGCTAGAGTCAGTATCAAGTAAGAGCAAGCTTTCATTCTTAGAGAGCAGCGAAAAGGAGAAACCTGTGATGGAAAGTGGGTGTGTGTCATCTAGAGGAAGAGTTGGAAGAAGAAGAAGAGGGAATGGCCGAGCTAATGCCATTAAAAGTAAATCCTTCAGGGAGCGCACCGCTGCATCCAGTGATGACAAAGATACTAAAGATTTTGATGCCCTAATATCAGAAAAAAACATAAAAAGTGAAACAAATGCATCATCCTCTAAAACAATTAGGGAGCATCCTTCTGTAGAAACTTCTGAGGATGAGATAGAAACTGTGAGTAAACCGAAACCACAACCTGGTAAAAGAAGAAATAAGAAAAAAGCACCTCCCAAGGTTGATGTTAGTGTGAGCAGTGAGGATGAGCCTTCAGTTACAGTTACTCCTTGTAAAGAGAAAAAATCCAATCGCAAAGGGAAGTGGGGAAAAAGTGCGGTGGGAATCGAGTCGACAAGTGCGAGTTCTCCGGTTTGTGAGCCTCCTAAGTTGGAGTTAAGTGATGATGATGAGTTGGGTCCTCCTACATACAAACTGTCCAGTGATGAGGACAACAGTGAAAAGAGTAATGATCCAACAGCTGTTATTGCTGATGTTTTTGGTGTTAGTGACCGGACAGACAGTAGTTCTGATAATGGTCGCAATAAGGCTTTAAGTAAAGGACCAAAGAAACGTGATAAGAAAAGTGAAACTATTTTTAGTGAAAGTGATGTGAATAGTGATGATGAAAATAAGGAAAGTACCATAGATTCTCAAAATCATGCAACATTGAAAACTAAGGCAGCTAAGAAAGAGTTTACTCCAAAGATTGAAGCAAAGGCTGAGAGAATGAACAAAAAGAAAAGTGATAAGGGTGGCAGAACAGTGAAGAAAATTGCTAGTGTAGAAAAGAGTAAAAGTGAACCAAAACCAGCTGATGAAGCCGATGCGGAGCTCGCCAGCACAAAGGGAAGCGAAGTGGAAGCTACACCTGGACATCTATTTGTACCACAAAGAAAAGCAGCAAAGAAGGCATCAGAGCTCATCACTAGTCAGAACACGACAAGTACATCTGCCACCCCTGCTGTGGCTGTGGTTGCACCCACACCTGCAGAAACCACAGTAGCTGAAGCAAAGAAGGTTGGTGCAAAACAAGTTAAAGAGGTGAAAGAAGAAGCTGAAGATCCTGAGATCATTGAAGAGAGAAAGGTGGCTGAAGAAAAGAAAGTAACACCAACTAAAGGAAGAAAAGGAAAAGTTACTAAGGATAAAAATGATAGAACAGTTGATGAAGTTAAAACTGAGGCAGGTGAAGCTCCTAAAAAGACCCTATTTGAGCCTCCAGAAATTTTACCATATGTGCCGATGCGGCAGGCAGCTAAGAAAGCTGCAGAGAACCTCAAAGTTGGCAACAGTAAAGGTACTGCAGTCAGTACTTGTGCTGAAGAACCGGAGGTGGTACCTGCTCCTGTCATACCGCCAGCAAAAACAAAAAGAATCTCACGCCAAGAAAGTAAATTAAGTGTACGATCAAAATCAAAGTCACCTCGGGCAGCAAAACACCTTTCACCTGCTAATGTTACGGACTCAGAATCAGAAAGTGAACCAGAGAGCTCATCAACAACAAAGAAAGTACCAAAAGATCAGAAGGATGTACAAAAGCCATCGAAGTCCATATTTTCAGATAGTGAAGAGGAATCAGTGGCTTTAATCAGAAAAGAGAAGCTCATGAAGGAGAAGCCAGACCCAGTACCCGAGGCTCCGAAAGAAACTTCAAATGCTGAGCCGTTTTTTCGTGGGGATGTATTTGTCCGAGAATATCAGAGCTCATCAGATGAGAATGAAGGTGAAAGACCCTCCACTCCAGGAAAGAAAGCACATCTCTCTCCAACCCTTAAATTGGGTGATGAATGCCAAGAGTCCTCAAAAAGTCAGCCCTTTCATGGTTCATCAAATATCTCAGGTGACCTACGGGTCACCTCTGACAGTGATGAGAGAGAGGATGAAAACCAGGAACCGGCAGTTGGAACCCTTAGGAAGGCCCCTGATAAGAAGCTTAAAACTTCCGAAGGGCGGCCTGAACATGGGTTTCAGCCGCCGATTACTGAGAGAAGTGAATCCCGAGTGTCCATCGAGACAGAAGATGACAGTGCCAAACCAGCTGTCAGAAGAGAGACTGGACTGGAGCCAAGATTGCGTCAAAGTGGGGCTCAGTGCAGACCGAGAACTCCTTCTGGTGATGTCCCCATGCAAGACATCAGAAGTAACTCTCATGCACCACTCGGAGGACCAAGAAGAGGAAGAGAGAGAGAACCGCCTTCACTCCCCCACAGCCTTGGTGCCAGTCCCAGCAAACCCTCTGGAAAGCGAGAGGTACAGCCTGAGGAATCACTCAAATCCGGCAAGAAGGTCACAGAGGGAGGCATTGAAGAGAAGTCAACCTCAACCAAAGTCATCACCGCCTCCGAAAAGAAAGAAACAGTGAAAGAGATAGAGGCAGTATGGGAAAAGAAAGAGCTATTAAGAGAAAAGAAAGAATCTCTAAGAGAAGAAGAAGTGCCTAAAGACAAAGGTTCCCCTTCAAGAGAAACAGAAGTTGTACATAAAAATAAGGATGTAATAGAAAGAGAAAATGAAGTGGCACCAGTTTTAAAGCCCACAACACTAAGAGAAATTGATTCTTCAGAAAGTAATGATATCATAATTGAAAAAGAAGTACAAAGGGAAAGGGGTATACATTCTAGAGAAAAAATCCTTTCACCTAGGGAAAAGGTATTGGGCTCAAAGGAGAGAGTTTTGACTAGAGAAAAGGTCTTACCTGCAAGGGAAAAGGTCTTACCCACAAGAGAAAAAGTCTTATCTTCAAGAGAAAAAATCTTACCCTCAAGAGAAAAGATTTTGCCTTCTAGAGAAAAGTCTTTACCACCCAAAGAGCTGTTACCTCCCAAAGAAAAAGTTTTACCATCAAGAGAGAAAGTCTTGCCACCTAGAGAAAATGTTTTATTATTAAGAGATACAAAAGATGTCTCAAGAGACAAGGTCTTACACAAGGATAAAGAAACATTACCAACAGAAAGAAGGGAAATTATAAGAGAAAAAGAGTTGCCAAAGGAAAAAGAGGTCATGAGAGTTCTGGATATTTCAGAAGATTCATTAGAGTCCCAGAGAGAGCAGTCGCATCCATTGATACAAAAACTAGATACTGTTATCGAGAGTGAGCAAACAACAGAAAAAGATAACATAGACAAAGTGGAAGAAATTATCCCCCAAAAAGTGGAAGTAGTCAAAGAATCAGAACCACTAAGAATAGAATCCAAAAATGAAGAGTTTTCAGTAAGAGAGGAGGAGCCAGTGAGAACTGTTGCACAGGCACCAGCTGAACCAGAGGTTCCTGTTAGAGAAAAGGATTCTGCCATAGAACAGTTAAACATTCCTGTAGCTGCAGAACAACAGAAGAAACCTGGTGTGTTTGGATATGTTGATGAGGAAGTGAAAGTTGAAAGATTAGCAGATATTGTTGAAACGTCTGATACAGAGCCTGAAAATAAAAGAGTTCGCATTGGTGACAGTGATGAAGACACTGTTCTTGTGACTGTAGAAAAGAGAGTAGAACAGCCCAAGGACAGTGGATATAAGAGTGCAATAACTACACCTGAACCTTTAGATAGAGTTCAACCTGTTTGTAGTGAAGTGGTGAATGTAAATAGTGTAAATAATTTTATGCCAGAAGAATCATGTTTAGAAACAATTGATGCAAATAACAAAACCCCGGTGGTTGTACCAAGTCCAGTGGAGTTCAAACAATCTGTTAATAAATTTGTATCTCCAGCCAGAAGAAAGAACTTGGAAGATGTCATAGGGGAAATGAAAAGACAAGCTGAAGCACAACCAGAGCCCAGTAATTCTGTACCCTCTTCTGAAGGTCAGAATGAGCTCAGTGCTTCTCCACCACACAGTCAGCCTAATTCATCTAGTTTTTCTGTTCCTCCACCAGAATCTTCTGTTCCTTCTTCTCAGGCATCTTCTGTAGAAACCTTAACTCCTAAAAGTTCAACTTCTCCAGCTGCTAATTTTGTAGAACAGTGGAGAGGTCAGTGGGTGAAAAGTCCTCCTCCACCAGACCACAAAGGGGATCCTAGCAGTGGCTCTCACCTTCCCCCTCACTTGCCAATGCCAAGCCTTGATCTTGGCCTCACACCATCTATGTCAATGCTAGAATTACAACGAGCTCTTTACCCAGATACCCAGCATCAGCTATTTAACCCTTATGACATTTTAAATGCTCGTTCCATGCTGCAGTCAGAAGCCATTCTTTCTTCCCGGTTACGTCAGATGGTAGAGGCTGGCATTCCTCCACAGTTATTTAATCCAACTTTATATTTACGGCAACACAGTGCTTCAGAAATTGCAGCTCTAAGCCAGCAGCAGTATGCACAGCCCTCTCGAGAAAATCAGATTCCAGATAAACCTAATGTATGTTCTGCTCAGGAATTGGCCAGATTACCCAATCTCGATAACCGGCCACCAACTCCAGAAATTCTTCCAACTAACAATAAGACGAATAACTTGCAAGCAGCCTCGGGTAACAAGGTTGGGAAACCTTTAACTTCTCCAGGATTATCTTGCATAATGGCTGCTCCACCACTACCATCTCCACCAACTACTGGGAATAAAGTTGTCCCAGGTCTTACCTCACCCACCACCAGTAGAGGGCAGCAGCTAACAGCAGCCAGAGAAGAGCCCCCATCTCCAGTATTACCACACAACAAATCTGCACAACCACAACTTTCTCCGTCGAGTATATATAACAAAAGCGACACTACTGTTTCATTGGCATCACAGCCACAACAGACAAGTGTACCCCTACCAGAGATATCTCCTGCCGATCATTCAGTATTAATGTTGAGAGCAAACAGAGTGCCAGTAGAGTCACAAGTCTCTCCCCAGTCCAGTAAAGCCTCTCAGGTGGCTGTGTCAGCTAGTGTATCATCTGGCGACATTGTCAGTGGAGGCAATAAGTGCCCCAGACCGCTGGTGTCTCCTAATGCAAACTCTGTTCTCACAACAAAGAAGAATGTGGTGCCACCTGTATCAAATTCTGTAATGACTATAGCGAAGTCAGCCACAACTACAACTAGTCTAAGCTTATTAAACAAATCTCCTCTCCCAGTGGTGATGAGTCCCACCAGTCAAAGGGACCCATCACCTCCGCATACAATCGTAGAAGTACCTGATTCAAAAATTGAAACCATTACCGTGGATGATAGTGTTATTCATCAGAAAGAAGAGCCTACTCAGAAACGTGTACCAATTTATATGCAAGAGCCAAAACCCCAGAAAATTTTGGAGAAAAAATCTAGATCTCGAAAATTGTCTCCACGGTGGAACAAGGAGAGTCCAAAAACCAGAGAAAAGAAATCAACCAAGCTCAACAGAGCATCCTACAATAAAGGCCGTGGTAGGAATGCAGGTAAAGGAAAAGGAAGAGGCCACAGTCCAAGGTTCAATCCTATTTCTGTTCCTAAAGAGCTTGTGGGAACAGTGTATGACTTTGATATAGACAACGAATTTGATGATGATGGTCCAGCCAACAACACCTTGGATGACCTTCGAAAATCTCGTGAGAAGCGTCAGTCTGTGGACACCACCCCACAACAGCAGTCTTCTACACCAACAAGCATTGTTGAGCACAAGGAACAATCTCCCAAAAAATCCAGTAAAAAGTCTAAATCATCATATAAGGATAAGGGGGCTGTTAAATTAAACAGTGATGATGACAAAGTTGCCAAAATACTTGAAGATTATAGAAATATGCAGAACTCTCAATTACGAAGAAGTGTCCACTCTCCCACACCACCCCAAGGAGAAACGATACCAGATGGGCCACCAAAAACACCAGATAGATTAGAGAATTTACCACAGTTTTGTGCTGAATATACAGCAAACACTGAAACGAAAATCACAATATCAAATATTAGTGAAGCAAGAGAATCTATTCAGAGTTCAGATCTGACAGTCATTCAAAAGGCTGCTGGAGATCACAGTAAAGTGTCCCTTACTGTTCCTACTTCACAAATTGGTATAGATGAGAGAACCAATCAACTGAAGCTCAAGATTAAAGGTCCCTATGCTAACTCATACTCAAATAGTAACACAGCAGCTCCACCACAGGAGGTTGTTGGTGCCCCAACACCAACCTCTACAACCTCAACCTTGCGGCGAATGAGGAAGAAGGAGCTTATCCGGCAGTATTGCTATCAAGATCAAATGCCAGCAGAGCCACCAGACTCTGGGCCTATAAACAGTACTCCAAACCCACCACCACATGTAAGAACTGGAATAACTATTCCCAAAGCTGTAGCTTCCATGACATCTATACCAACACGAGAAGATTACAAGATGTACACTCAAGATGACCCGCCTAGTACTGCAGCAGGGGGAGGTAGACGGAAAAGACCGCCCAGAGAACTTAGACATTTAAATGTGTGGGCCATAAGGGAAGAATCAGGTAAACGTAACTCAGAAACAACAGAAGTTGGAGACACCAGCAGAAAGAGACCAAGAGGTGCCAAAGAGTCCAAAAATCTGGAGGAGAAAGATGTGTCTAGTGCCAAACCTCCACCGAAGTTAAGAATAAGTTTAGGCAAGAAAGGCAGTGAGGTCACTACAGTTACTTCTGATACTAAAGAACTGGCTGGGAAACAGCGGCCACCTAAGAAACGACTTGCTGAAGAAAACCCTATGGTTAAAATTAAGAGTGATAACATGAAATTTCGTGAACAAATTATGGCTGACTTCGATAAACCAGTTAAGAAGGGTGGGCTGAAGAGCTCAGACAGAGAAAAAAGGGCAAAAAAGCGCAAGGTTTATTCTGGGGAAATTGGTCACAGTACTTGCGCAGAGAGTAAGGAACTTGACTCTTCTGAAAAGCATGACATTAAAGTTATAACTGGGGATAGCACAAATGCTCCAAAATTAGTGATAAGATTTGGGAAAGGTAAAAGTGTTAACTCGAGTAGTGTTAAAAGTGCTAGGAGTGAAACAAATGATTCGGGGAGTTATAAAGACGAGAGGTCAGAGCCAGATACTGTTATGCCTCTCTCCTTGAAAATTCGGCTTTCTGTGCCAAAGCCAGATTCTGATTCAAATAAAGAAGAATCTTGTGTTCCTAAAGTGCCCCTCAAACTAAAGTTATCTAGACGCTCGGATGGCTATGTTGCTTCAAATACCCCCAGAAAGCCTGTGCCTGAAGTGCAGGACCAGGGGCCAGGTCCTCCTCCTCCTAAACCTCCTGACCCTTTCCCAGAGCCCCAATCAGAAAAAAATATACCTAACACCACCCCTCCGTCACCACCACCACCAATCAATCCTTTAATAGCAAGTGGGTCTCAGGCAGAGTCTCGTTTGTCACAGCAAGAAAACCCTAAACCGCTTATTCCGCCGTCGTACGATATATACCCTCATCAGGGGGACACACCTACCTGTAACGCACCAGAACAACTAAATATGGGCCCATTAGATTATGTACTTGGGGGTCTGGGTCCACCACCAAGATCTGATGCACCCGAAGAAATTTTTCAAAGATTAGAGGCTCAAATAGCAGCTGCAAGCAGAAGTATTCCAGAAAGTGGGGTCCAGGTTGACACCTTGGGGTCTCCTCGGCAGCAATCTGGACCACCTTTACCAGACGTCCCCTCAATACATCACACGTTATACCCGTACAAGGAAGGCTCTGACTGCAGATGATAATTGCTTCTCTTTCATAGTAATAACTTTAATATTTACAATAATGTAACAAACTACCATAATTATGTACAAATGTAGATACCGTTGGTGTTGCTCACTCGATGCACTATGTTAGTTACGCAAGGATTTAATCACTTGCATCTCATGGGCTGATTGCAGCCACAATTTTTTTTTTTTTTTTTTTTTTTTTTTATTAATGTAATGTTCTGCACTGTCATTGGTTAGGGAAAAATACTCGCTCCCCAGAAGGGATTCTACAAGGGTACAGCTACACTGTTGGCAATGATTGTTAATGTGATGGGTGAGTCAGGAGGGAGCACCTCTGGTCTTCCCTCCCCCTAAAGCCATGTTAAAATAATTGTTCACATTGCAGGTCCCACAAGGCCCCTGCTACCAGATGTGGTTCCCTTGGCTCACCTCCACCCTCAGTAGGCTACTTTAGCCTAATGTCTTGTTTCCTTGCCTGTTTTTACTGTCACTTTTGTATGGACTGGGAGGGTGGTTGTTGTTGAGCATAGCAGTGTAGTGGGCACGGCGCCCCTGGCCGGACCCCTGGACCCCTGACCATGGGGCCCTGGGCGCCGGACCCGTTGTCCCGGGGAGGACTTGTGTTCCCATATTTTGATATCTTTTTTACCATTGTAAATAGAAAGAATGTACAAATTACTGTATTTGCTTTTTGTAATTTTATTACTTTTGTACAGTTTTTAGTTCTGATTGCTCATCAGACATAACTTATGTTTTATCAAAAGTTGGAATTATTTATTTTTTGACTTCTCTAAGTGTCACAAATTTCCATGCCATTACTGTCATTTAATATATAAATTTCTTAGCTTTTTAATTCTTCACTTTGTTGTAAGGACAAGTTGTTTCTGTGAAGACTGAGTTGTTTATCTACTAGAAGGCAGAAGATTGTAATATATTTCTTGATTCCTCAACAGAGAAATAGTCTTGTAAATCTTAGTGTCATGTGATACATTAATATTATTGAAATATAAATTTTTTATGTTATATAGTAGGCCTTTGTAATTACTCTACCTAGTACACACATTCACAAAATACAAGGAACTGAACAGAAATATGAAAATTATTTTACAGTATTAGCATCGAGTATTTGAGGTTCTGTACCATACAAGAAGGTAGTGACTGCACTGCCATTCTGAATGTGAAATGGAAATCTTAAGTTTTGCAATCTGACAGAACTGCTGATCTTTATTCTGTTTCTTAAACATAGGATGATGGGTAAATTTTACAAACTTTTAATTACATTTAGTAAGTACAAATTACTTTTCTATATATGCTTCTTAATAGTTTTTATTACAATATTTACTTTCCAACTTAGGCCTGGTAGTCTAGGCCGTAGAATCGTTAACAAAATAGCAGCTGGTCAGTAAAGAGTAAATGTGAAAATTATGTAATGTACACTAAATGCAGTAGAAAATACTGCTGATTGTATGGAAAGAAATCATAAGCTAGTAATATAGAAAAAAATGCACCTGGTGATGAAATTACCAGCAAGTAATTTACAGTTAGAAAAAAGTGATTCTTTTGTGTGAGAGAGATTAGGTGCCTATTGAAGTTTTCAGGGGAGTGTGGGTGAGCTCTATTCCTTGACCTTTCCTCTTTGCTTTGACATGATAGTCATGTCATGTCTACTTTTTGATTACCTTTATTGGGTCTGTTTAAACTCACTGTTCAGTTCATTCTACCTTAATAATAATTATGTTAAAGACATATTTCTCTGGAATTTGGTTATGTAATATCTAGCAGTGCACTCCATTCTTGTTTCATCCCTGGATAAGAGCCTATACTTGTCTACCCTACATATTCCTGGTGTATTTTCTCCTTTGTGATCATACTTCCTCAGATTTACCTCGCCCTCAACTTTCAACCTAATTAAGCTTCACTTTGTTTTATTTATTGAGGCATTCCTTACATGTATGGTTACAGTTCATGTTACAATACAGTTGCAGTATACACATGCCCCCAGCAACCATGACTTACTGTAAGCCCTGAACCTCAGTCTCTTGTTAGACTTAGAATGAAGGGAGACATGACTGAAGTGTTTAAGTGGAAGATGGGCATAAATAAAGTGAATATAAATAGGGTACTGAGGATATCCCTCCAAGAAAGAACTCAAAATAATGGATTGAAATTGGATAAGGTTTAGAAAAGATATAGGAAAGTACTGTACTGGTTTGGATATAGTCATCGATGAATGGCACAATCTGCCTGGTGGGGTTTGATGCTAGAACCTTGGATAGCTTCAGAAATAGGCTAAACAAATACAGTGGACCCTCGACCAACGATATTAATTCGTTCCTGAGAGCTCATCGTTAGTCGAGTTAATTTTCCCCCTAAGAAATAATGGAAATCAAATTAATCCGTTTCTGACACCCCAAAGTATTGAAAAAAAAAAAAAATTTACCACATGAAATGTTAATTTTAATACACACAAATTGAAGAAGACATGTACAGTTACATGACACTTACCTTTATTGAAGATCTGGTGATGATTGATGGGATGGGAGGTAATTTTTCACAGTGGGGGCAAATGCATGGTGTAACCAGTCATAGAAAAAGTCCCTAGTGACCCATGCCTTACTGTTTGCCCTCCACAGCACACACAAATTAGCCTTGAGGACATTATTTTTCCTGAACACACTGGGAGTTTCAGAGTGATACACCAATAAAGGCTTCACTTTGCAATCACCACTAGCATACATCAACAGAGTAAGCCTGTCTTTCATAGGCTTATGTCTTGGGAGTGCCTTTTCCTCCTGAGTAATGTAGGTCCTGTTTGGCATTTCCTTCCAGAACAGGCCTGTTTTGTCACAATTGAACACTTGTTGGGGTTGGAATTTTTCAGCTTCACCATGCCTTATCACACTGTGTATGCCACTACAATTCTTAAATCTCTCAAACCAACCTTTGCTGGCCTTAAATTCACCAATATGAGCACTAGTTACAGGCATTTTGTCCTGTTCACCTGGGTGTTAGTCAACTGTTGTGGGTCACATCCTGGGGGACAATTATTATTATTGTTATAATCAAAAAGAAGCGCTAAGCCACAAGGGCTGTACAGCTCCTGGGGGACAAGATTAAGGACCCCAATGGAAATAAGTTACAGTCCTCGATGATGCACTGACTTTCTTGGGTTATCCTGGGGTTAATCGTTTCTCAGTAATTGTTTCACGTTAAGCCACACCAACAACACACACTCCACATCTTCGAGTAATACAGCTGATGGTGGTGCAGCAACAGCTGACTGTGGTACGATAGTATTTCTCACCCTTTTTACCACAGGGTTGGCACTAGAAGCTTACTTGGGGCCCATGTGACTTATTTTGCAGGTACAATCACTTAAAGCGCTGTGATAATATAAAATGTTCCGATTGTATGTTTGGATGCGCCCGCGGTGGCTGGCTGCTTGTAAACACTGGCACCCACGGGACAAGCGCTCAGGCAGCAAGTGGACGCGTCTCGAACGGAACAAATCGTGTTGGTCGAGTTTTTTAGCGCTAGTCGAGGCAAAGTTTTTGCGTTAAAATGTATTGCTAGTCGGATTTAACGTTAGACGATGCCATCATTGGTCGAGGGTCCACTGTACATGAGTGAGAAGGGTTGGATATGAGTGGGGTTAGTAGTTATCTAAGCTAATTCCTTGGATAGCCCTGGGAATAGGTTGGTCAAATAGAAATATTTCTGCTAGTTTGAGAAAGACTATATGTCAGAAGAGTTGTTATAGCTCTGTCACTTTCATCTAGTAATGGGTATGGTTATTAAAATCTATACCAAGTGCTAAATCCACAAGGGCCATACAGCACTGCAGGGCAGGGTGTGCTTGCTTGATTATAGACTAGTGAGAGTGGAGAGGATAACAGAGGTAGAGTTATAAAAGGCTGTGAGTAGTATTAAAGTACCATCAAAGTTTGTGTAATACATAAATATGTTGCTGTCAAAAAGTCCAAGAGGGAGTCTGTGTCAAAGGTGGGGCCATCAAGGAGGGAAGATAAAGTAAGGGTGTTAGAGCAGTGATGTCAGAGGTAAACTGTGTGCGCTCGCTAGGCATGGTTACCACACCATACTTAGGAGCTTTGTCAATTATAATGATCAAATAAAGCACTAAACCAACAAGGGTCTTTGGAGCTTTGTTAATACAAGGACACACACAGTATATACAGGTAACACGAGGTGAAAGAACATAAGCACTGTGGTAGGTCTACTGGCCCATGTTGTAGGTGGTATTATTATAATCAAAACTAAGTGCTATATCCACAAGGGTCATGTTGTAGGTGATAGTAGTAGTTTGTCTATGCTATCAGTTGAAATTGTGGCAGCAAGTGACTTTCGAGTGCATCCTACATGAAAGGATCTGTATTCAAAATAGTGTTCTTTTTCTTTGACCTTATTAAAAACTACAGCTAAGAAGCCTTCCTCATTGGAATTACGTTGGCATCTACATGAACATGACTGTTGTCTGCTCAGTCAACTTGTATTCTGGAATATTCAACAGGGTACTGCCAAAACCCTTGATTTTGGGCAAATGTGGTCAAGGCTGCTTTTTTAACAATCTGTTTGGAATGACAATAAAGCTTCAGAATGGTCCACAATTCCATTAGCAGCAAATGGATTGAGAACTTGTCTGTTGGAATTTGGGTGTTCACTTTCACTGGGAAATATACACCGAGGCCTTCCAGTACCAAATTAAGGTGATTGACAATTAAGTGGGACATTGACATCTCCACAGTGTTTCTTCTGTTGGCTGCATACCAAATTCCCAGCCACATTGTCAAGTTATTAAAAGTTGGGAAATCTGAAAAAAATTCTATACAGGCATACATCGCTAATATGGCAGTTCAGATTCCAGACCACTACCTTAAAGCAAATCACAGCCTTTTTTTACACTTGCGAGTGCATATAAAAGCCTAAAAACACGTTTACATTATTATTTAACCTTTTGAGGGGTCCAGACCCACAATCTGAAACCTGTCCACAAAATCCAAAAGATCTCCCTCTCCCTCAATTATTTTTTCTTATGAAATGGTCGAGATTCTTTTTCCAAAAGTAATGACACCAAAAGTACAAAATTTGATAGAAAACTTACAGAATTACACACCTGTAATTTTGCCCACTTTGAATCCTATTTTAGGCCAATTCCATTGTACCAGTCAACTAAATTTTTAGTTATTTCACTAGTATGCCTTCCATTCTATCAAGCGAGCACAAGAAACCACCCATTCAACTATTTCAACTAGCCAATATCGTGATTAGAATTCACTAATTTGGCCAATTTCACACAAAATTAAAAAAAGCCAATTTAAAAATAAGAGTCCATAATAAACAATGTAGACATTCCTGACACTAAAAAACATTTTCTCTGTTCATTAGTCACATCCCCAGCCCCCTCTCTGTATTACACTTGCTTTCCATTTTGAATTCTTATTCACACAAAAAATAAATTCTATTTCCTGGATAATAATACAGCCTCTCCTCACTTAATGACGGAGTTCCGTTCCTAAGACCATGTTGGTAAACGAATTCATCGCTAAGCAAGGAGCATACTATAATGGTAGTGGGTTTGTGTCAACTATCTTGATATTGTTTTAATGTCACCTTTGTGCCATTTACAACATTTCTGGTACATATACATGTACGTATTTTTAAATGTTTATACAGTGCTGTACTGTATATTGTAATAAACAGATTACATAGAGGAAATCAGCTCTAATATACATTATTTAGGTATGCATACTGGTCAGAGAGCCCGTCATAAGTCCAAGTCGTCGGTAAACGAGTATGTCACTAAGGGAAGAGGATGTATATAAGCAGGAAAGACTGTCCATGGTTCACAGCATCCAAATAATTGAATCAGACCCAATAAAAACAGATTGGGGGTTGTAGGTGGGCTTTACCCATCCTCTGGAATATTAGCAAAAATTGAATATTTCAAGCTACTTCCAGTCCTGAATCCATCAAAATCAAATTTTAGTAATATTCTTCCATTCTGTTAAATGA